TTGGGAGTCTTTGCCAGAGGTGGCGCCGGGCGCAATTTATATTGCGCCGGGCGTGAGACCCTAGGGAGGTCTCTACTTTCTTGCGCCAAGCGCGGGATGAGCACGTCGGGCTTGTGAGACCTTTTGAGGTCTCTGCCTCCTATCACGCCAGGCGCAATAGGAATTACGTCGGGCGCGCTGGTCCCTGGTGCTCTCTGGTTGTGCCACGCCAGGCGCGACCATGAGTGCGCCGGGCGCGGATGTGATGAGTATTTATAGGATGTTGTGTGTTGAATTTTGCTAAGATTGTTGATGGATGTGGTTATATGCTGAGCTGAGCTGTAAATGGTTAATATTGTTGTGATGTTAGATGATAATTGCTGAATTAGGGTGCTAAGATGTAGTTGATGTAAATAGTTGTGCTGTAAGTTGTTTAGTTGTGCTGTGCTGTGCTTTGAGCTGTGTTAGCTAGGCTGTGAGTTGTTTGGCTGTGCTGTTTAATGTTGAGTTGTATGATGTTATTGCCGCTATGAGGTGCTATTATTGCCACTATGCGATGCTATTATTGCCACTATGTGGTGCTGTTATTGCCGCTATGCGGTGCTATTATTGCCACTATGTGGTGCTGTTATTACCGCTATGCGGTGCTTTTATTGCCGCTATGCGGTGCTGTTATTGCCATTATGTGGTGCTGTTATTGCCACTATGTGGTGCTGTTATTGTCGCTATGGGATGTTGTTATTGCCACTATGCAGTGCTGTTATTGCCATTATGCGATGCTATTATTGCCACTATGTGGTGCTGTTATTACTGCTATGTGGTGCTGTTAATGCTGCTATGAGATAGCAATTTAATTTTTCAAGCAATCTATGTTTTCTTGCCATTTATGTTTTCAAGTATTGATTAATTGTACACTTTAGGCACTTGCTTGTTATTTTTCTTTGAAAAATATCTTTGTGAAAATTTTTGTGTGCAAGGAAAACGTATAAGGGGGTTTAGAGATTTTTACTTGAAGAGGCTTGGTTATTAAGTGGCTCTTTAGTAGCTCACCTCCCTCCAAAGTTCAATTTGTACTCTTAGACCTCCAAGTGCCAAGTCTAGGCACTCCCCAAAAATACTATTTTTTTAAAAATATTTTTGTGTGAAAAATCTTGTTGTTTAAAATGTCTCAACAATCCAACTATAGTGGAAGTGATAGCTCTCCTAAAATCATTTCTTACTTAACAAAAGAGCTAAAATCACTTAATCTATGGAAGAAGCAAGCGGCCTTTCAAAAAGAGAAGGAGAAAATTGAAAGAGAGGCCAAACTTGCTATCCTAGATGAGAAGTTGAGAATTCTTAAACAAGAAGAAGAAAAATTGAAAGAAGACATGAGAAAACACAAAAGAAGAAGACAAATGAAAATCAAAAGAAAAGAAGAAATAGAAAAAAGAAAAAACTTTGTGCAGGGAAGAGTAAAGAGGAAGAAATATCCTCTAAAGGATTTGTGACTAAAGAGAATTGTTTTAGTACTAAAAATCCTATGAAAAAAATTCTCTTTATTCATAAAGATCTTAACTCTTGCCCTCATTCTGCCACTAGTCTTGAGGAGGAGATTCATAAATCCATTATTTTTAAAGAAAAAGAGTCTCAACTTCAAGATTTGGTGAAGGAGAAGTGGACTTCACTTAGTATAAGTAATGCACATACCTTAGTGTGAGTTAGGGTTGCTTTAGGCCTTGGGCCTGAGATAAGATATGATATGATTGGGTGTCGGATCTCATCTGGAGAGAGATCCCCGCAAATTGGTTATGATTTACTTAAATGCTGAGCTGACATCACACAGCGCATGCCCAAGGTCATCTTACACTATGGTGCCGAGCTCAGAGCTCGGTTTCACAGTACAAATAGTACACTAGCCCCCCGAGCTCCGAAGACCGTAGGTCGAGGAGTTAGGACTGAGCTCGTCAAGTGGGCGTGACTTTTCGCGTATGTCTGCCCGTCGAGATGCCACGTGTTGGGGCCGGTTATTTCTCGAAAACGTGCAGGTGGCGCGTTTATGAGAATGACGGTTATGTAATGATGGTTTTTAATTAATGTGTCGTCAGGCGTGCCCTTTGGCTGACACGTGCCGTGACCGCTTTGAATTTGGGGGAAAACCTTTTCTTTCTCTCTCCCGCGCCTCTTCTCATTCACTTTACCTCCTTCCTTTCTTTGGCTTCTTGAGTACGAAAGTTCTCTCTGCCCTCTTGCTTCCGTTCGCCTTCTGTTCTTCTTTTCGCGGTTTTTGTCATCGTTTCCGGTAACCCAGTCGTTTGTTAGGGTTGTTTTCTGAGGAGGAGTACCAGGTACTTTCTTTTCTACAGTTTTCTTTTTTTTTTTCTTTCCCAATCTTCTTCAAGTCTTTCTATTTTTCAATGGCTGGTGGGAGTGGTGTTGGTTCTTCTGCGCCTGCCAGGGGCAAGGCGCGCGGCAAGGCGGTGGCTACTGGAAGAGCCGCTGTCGAGAAGAAGGGCTCGCCTCCGCCCAAAGACCTAGAGCCAGGTCTCCCTGGTTACGACTGGGTTAAGCGCGATATGGGGGGTCCATAGTGTGTTCAAATCGTTTCTGGAGGTCAACGCGTTTCAGAGAACGCACCGAATTTGTGACCCTTCCATTTCCCAGATGATCCGGCTTGAACCCTGTCCGGCCGGTGAGGGTGTGTACATGGGGAGGTCTACTGGCCCTCCTTATTTCTATGTCTCCCAGTGTCTCTTCAGGGACCTGGGCGTTTGTCTTCCTGTCACTCAGTTTGAGTGCGATTTTTTGAATTACGTCAACGCGGCTCCTTGCCAGCTGCACCCCAATAGTTGGGGTTTTTTTTAGGGCTTTTCAGGTCCTATGTACGGTCCTTGGGATAGAGGTGTCCCTACGTATTTTTCTCCATTTCTATCAATTGAAAATATGTGTTCCGCCCTACGGCTTGCTGTCGCTGAGTGAGAGTAGAGATGAGGGTTTGTTTACCCTTTACGCCCAATCATATAAAAATTTTAAGCAAGAGTTTTTTCGGGTGGCCCTTGTGGACGTCGACCCTTTAGAGGATGGGGGTTTCTACTTCGGCGGGCTGCCGAAGTTCCCATTCTACTGGTACCCCAAACTGTCTAGGTTTAACGGGGTGGACCATTCTACTGGTACCCCATCTCTGTGACGAGGTTCTTCTCGGCGGCAAAGAAGAGGAGGTTGCCTCTTTGAAGGTAGAGCTGGCGAAGCTTGAGGAAGCTAAGGCGGGATTGGAGAGGAAGCTCGAGGACACCGAGAAGGCTGTTGTCTTTGAGCATAAGAGGGGTTTCCTCAAGGCTGCCCGCCAGGCTAGGCTCCTCGCGCCCGGGTTTGACTTCTCCGCGATGCATGTGGAGAAGGTCGTCCGCTTTGGGAAGCTAATAAAGGAGGATGACGTCGAGGACAGCTCCAGCGACAATGCCTCTGCATAGGCCAGTTTTGTAATGGCTTAGTTTAGTTTTTCCTTGTTTTAGTTTTCTGCTTTTGAATTCAAGTGGTGAACTCTAGGAACTTTGCTTGTATATGCATATTTTTCTTTGTCTTTATGTGTTTGCGCTTGGTTTTTGCTTTCTGCACGTTTTTGTGACATACGTTCGATGTCTGTTGTATGTTCTTATACTTGGTGATATTTTTCCTCGAGTTGCTCACGCTGTGGTTCGAATTCGACCTCAGTTTTAAGTAGTTTCTCGTGGAGGTTCGAACTCGACTTCAATTAAACCAGGGTTCGAATTCGACCTCAGGTTTAAGTAACTTCTGTGAAGGTTTGGACTCGACCTTAATTAAGCCAGGGTTCGAATTCGACCTCGGATTTCTGTTTAGTAGCGCGTTGTGAAGGTTCAAACTCGACCTCAGGTTTAAGTAACTTCTGTGAAGGTTCAAACTCAACCTTAATTAAGCCGGGGTTCGAACTCGACCTCGGATCTGTTTAGTAGCACGTTGTGAAGGTTCGAACTCGACCTTGCTCACACCGAGGTTCGATCTCGACCTCAGATTAGCGTATTGAGGTTCGTACTCGACCTCGGTTTTGTATAAAGCGTATTAAGGCTCGTATTCGACCTTAAATTAGAGTGAAATGGGTCATGTCAAGGTTCGAACTCGACCTCGAAATTATGTAAAGCGGGTTATATCCAGGTTCGAACTCGACCCCAGTCATACCGAGGTTCGAACTCGACCTCAGATTTTCGTTAAGTAATTTTTGTGAAGGTTCAAACTCGACCTTAATCATACCGAGGTTCGAATTCGACTCAGATTTAGCACAAAACATAAAGTAATGCAAAGATAACATGAGTTGAATAGAATGAGTTGTTTTATTGATAATGCTGGTGTGCCTTGTTAAAAACCCTCTCAGCCAAAACCCATTTTTCTATTTTTTGGGACAAAAGACTGAGGCGGGAATAGAGTGCACAGCTCATTCATACAAGTTTCTGATGGAAGAGCATGGGCTAAAGGCCCAACCACTAGAGCTATGGCCAGGAGATTACTTGAAGACTTGTCTGCTTCAGAGCTTAGTGGGCCCAATAGGCTTGGTGGGCCTAGGGTGCTTCTCACATGGACCTTACTTGATTAAACACCATGTTTTATTGCATTTTATTAGTATAGGAAACTACTTTGATTTTGGTCTTGTATTTTGACCATAGATTAGGGTTTATGCTTTTGGGCTTGAAATTGGGCTTCTTAGGCTTTTGGGCTTTTGGTACCCAATATTGGGCTCATTTTCATTCTTGTAATTTTTCCTTTTCATTGTATTTCTTGGACCATTGTATTTAGGTCATTAGATTAGGAATTAAGGAGGATTAATAGTTTAAGTGAATTAGGCAAAATTAGGTTTAATGACCAAGGATGATGCCACCTTGGCTGATGCCACCTTGGCTGAACATGTGTGACTCAAATTCAACCCTAAATGCACACTAAATCAAAACCAAATGCACCTAGCACTCATGGGACCGGTCATACACATGTGTGACAAGCTTTGAATTCAAATTTGAATTTGAATTCAAATCTTGGCGCCAACATGGTGGCCTCTCATGTGGCGCCAAGTGTACTCCTAATTTTCGGATGCATATATATTCCCTCCTTCACCTATTGTACTCACTTTGAATCATATATGAAATTTGAGAGCCTAAGTGCCGAGTTTCCTCTTCAATGTCTTGAGAGAATTCACCTCAAAACCCTAGGAAGTTCACCTTCTTCCTTCTCTTTGAAGTAAGCACTCCATTGGTCCTTGAGCTTGGATGCTTCCATCCAAGGCTTGAGCCTTCATTCTATTCCGAGAATCCTCCTAAAGTGTTCAATCAATTCGGATTGCATTTCCTTGAAGAAGATCCGTGCTTAGGAGAAGCTAAGGAGTAGTACATCTTCACTTTTTCTTCCTTCTTCTATCAGTTTCAGCTGAAATAGAACTTGAGATGCGTAGCATTCCAAGTTCGCGGTATAGGCTTCCCGCTGAGTTCTTCCAGCCTATACGCTCCATTTTCCAAGTCTTCTATAACTCGGAATGGGCCACCCCAGGTGGGTGCAAGCTTCCCATCTGACGTGTCCTTTCGGGCTTCGCCTAGCAATCGCCACACCAAGTCACCAACTCGGAAAGAACGAGGTCGTACTCGGGTGTTGTATCTTCGGGAAGCTCGGAGCTTGCATGCTTCTTCGTGGACTTGAGCTTTGTCTCTAAGTTCGTCCACCAGGTCGAGGTCAACTGCCAACTCTTGGGCGTTCTGCTTGCTGTCGAAAGATTGACGTCGGTGGGACGTCTCTCCGACTTCTACTGGGATCATTGCGTCAGCTCCGTAAGTTAGCCTGTAGGGCGTTTCTTGCGTGGTTGACTAGGGGGT